CCCAGCAGCGAAATTCCTGGAGGGATTTCAAGCTGCCTGGCTGCAGGAACACCCCGTGAGCTCGTTTATCCCGGGATGAGGAGTCAGGATGACTCCAGGGCTGGAATCCTCCCGCTGCAGCCCCACCTGGGCATGGCAGGGGAGCAGGGATGGGTTTGCCTCATTCCCTGCTCTCCTCTGGATCCGTCAGCAGGAGACGGCCCCTCTCTCCCCGGGCACACCCAGGGTGCTGCCCCTTCCCGTGCCTGGGGAAATGGAAGCTTGGAAGAGGTTTCAGCTCCAAAATCAGGCAGAATTTGTTTACCGGGATCTGCATCCTGCGTTTCTGTGGGGGAAGGGAGAGCTGGATGAAACCCACAGCGATTCCTGTCACCAGCGAGCGGAGCATAAATAGCTCCTTCAAAAGATGCCTCGAGCTCCCAAAATCACCCTGAGCTGGCAGCTTCCCTTCTCAGCCAGAGAATTCAAATCCCTTCCCCAAGGGAATCCAAATTCCTTCTCCTCCTTCCCATGAAGAGCCGACCCCGGGCACCTCGTGTGACCTCATACAAACCCCCGTGTCCCCAGTCTCCATCCCCTGCAACCGAAATTTCCTCAGAAATTGGGATGGAATTAGCCAGAAATCAGGATCTCACAAGAAAATCTCCAGTGGTGTGGAGATGCCTCCCAAATTTCCAGTGGGATGGAGATTCCTCCCAAATTTCTACTGGGATGGAGATTCCTCCCAGATCTTCACTGGTTCCTCCCAAATTTCTACTGGGATTGAGATTCCTCCCAAATCTCCACTGGTTCCTCCCAGATCTCCACTGGTTCCTCCCAGATCTCCACTGGGATGGAGTTTTCTCCAAGGTGAAAAGGGGGAAGATCAGATGACTCCACACAGGGGAAGTGTCCAGACCCGGGGATTTTTGGGTGGGATTCCCTCATCTCCTGCTTCTCCAGCTCCACCACCAGCTCATCCTCCCCCGGCTTTGTCCCCTGGCAGGTCCCTGCAGCGCCATGCCTTGGGCCACCACCCTCATCCTCATCCTGGCCGGGCTCTGCGGCTCCGCCCTGGGCCAGTACAACGAGGAGGAGGACCTGGCGTGGCTCCAGTACTACCTGCGGCAGTCCCGCGTCTCCTCCTACAACTACGTGCCCTACTACGAGGAGGAGAGCCCCGCGTACGCCTACTCCTACCCCTCCGCCACCGACAGCGAGCCCGAGCCCGAGCCGGAGCCGCAGCAAGCCGCGCCCTGGCGGTGTCCCCAGGAGTGTGACTGTCCCCCCAACTTCTCCTCGGCCATGTACTGCGACACGCGGAACCTGCGGTACCTCCCGTTCGTGCCCTCGCGGATGAAATACGTCTATTTCCAGAATAACCTGATCACCTCCATCCAGGAGGGAGCCTTCGACAACGCCACGGAGCTGGAGTGGCTGGCGCTGCACAACAACCAGATCAGCAGCGAAAAGATGGGGAAAAGGGTTTTTGGGAAGCTGCAGCGTTTGGAGAGGCTCTACATGAACAACAACAACCTGACCAGGCTGCCCGGCCCGCTGCCGCGCTCGCTGCGGGAGCTCCACCTCTCCTACAACCAGATCTCCAAGGTGCCTTCCAATGCTCTGGAGGGGCTGGAGAACCTCACGGCGCTGTACCTCAGCCACAACTTCATCTTCGAGCTGGGCGCCTCCCTCAAGGGGCTCAAGTCGTTGATCCTGGCCGACCTGAGCTACAACAACCTCAGGAAGGTCCCCGACGGGCTCCCGGCGTCCCTGGAGCAGCTGTACCTGGAGTACAACTACATCAACGCCATCCCCGACGATTATTTCCAGGTGTCCCCCAGGCTGCTCTACGTGAGGATGTCCCACAACAGCCTGACCAACCAAGGGCTCTCCAGCAACACCTTCAACAGCAGCAGCATCCTGGAGCTGGACCTCTCCTACAACCGGCTCCAGAAGATCCCGCGGGTCAACACCAACCTGGAGAACCTCTACCTGCAGGGGAACCAGATCAACGGTGAGCAGCAGTGAAAAACCCCCGGTGGTGGTTTGAGCAGGGATTTGGGATTTTTGAGGGTTCTGGGCAGTCCTGAGC